ATCGAATGGCCTTCACTTTGTCAAGTTTCCGACCCACAGTCGTCAAACCATGCTTGTTGAGATACAGGTCTAGTTCTCTTACCCGCAACTTTTGAACTTTGCCACCCTCGATGAGGTTATCCCATTGAAAGTCCTTGTACGTTCGTTCGGCCTCTTGCCTTCTTCGCTCCTGAGCTGCTCTTGTTCTGATGTCCTTTCGGATCTCAATATCCTTCAAATGATTAACATATGCAATGACGTGCTTCTCTTCCACATTATATTTTGAGCAGAAGCTCTTCATGGTATCCTGATCGTTTCTGATACTGTCAGAATGTTCCTCGTACAGATCTTTAATACATTTTCTTGGAAGGTAATCATCTGGTGTCCTGCCCGTCGATTCCGTCTGATAGATATCCATGAAATGTCCAGGATTGTTTGAATCTGGTACAGGTTGCGGAATTCTTTCCGTTTCTGGACCGACCCATCTATTGTTAGAACACCAGGAACAGAGATTGGAACTTTCTTCTCTTGACTCTTTACAGGCATCACGACAGAATTCCATAAAAAGTTCTCCACGAATATAGTGGTCTTCCATAAACGATTCGATCTTTCGGAAGTATGCTGCACCGGGCGCTTGCTCTTTGTTTCGTTCTGATGCACCCCGATAGTTGTCGAGGTAAACAGAATTGAAAAAGAATAATTCATCAGGGGACTCGCTTACTTTGCTCTTGATGTAATCTTTAAGGACAGGGGCATCATCAATTCTCTCGGCTACCTGACTACAGACATACCAGGCATTTTTCTCCATCCGTTTCTTTTCGTACTCTTCGTATGACTGGAGAGACAGTTGTTTGATTTCCTCTTCTGAAAGATCCTCAAATCTCCTATATTTTTCCCACTCTAGAGTTGCGCCATCCACAAGAGCATCAGAAATTGCCGAGTTTGTTCTTTCGGCTTCACCTTGCCTGCTGTCGCCCCTCGAACGATGACATCGCACTCTATAATCGGAATTGTGAACCCTTGCTAACTCGGCGTCTCGAAATCTAACTTCGTAGTTGGAAACTCCCACGCCCGGACCAGCATCTGTAAGGTCAGCCCATCGTGGCTTTACAGGTGGAAGGCAGAGATCTCCGAGAACTTCAAGACCATGTTTACATGAACTGGTTACCCTTAAAATCCTGTCCTTTCTCGCATCTTTTTCCATGGAATCGACTTCCTCTTTAAACAGATCATCAATGGCATCTAAAATGCGTTTCGTGACTGGTATTATCTGACTAGCAAACAGAGCCCTATTGTGCTCTGACATTTCTGTGTCTTCGCAAAACTGCAACAAATTGTCAATCCTTAATTTCAAATGTTCTGCTCTCTCTTTTTCGTAAGTGAAGAATTTACAGTTACTTTCTGTTTCTCCAGATAATTTGTCTAGGTCATCTGACTCTGTCATATCATAATAAAGAAAGAGGTCATCGTGTAGTCGCGCGCAGCATTTACGAAATCCCAGTGAGTACTGTGGACTGCCAGGTGTCGGTTCGTCAACCTCAAAAGCTGATGGATCCTCATGTCGCAAACGAACCGTTTCACTGGCCCATACAGTGCCTGACGATCCCACTATTGCTTTGGGCCGGACAAATACATAGTGGCGATCGTCCTCAGTTATCAGCTTCTCTTCAGTTTCATTCATTACACTTGACTTCGTGAAAACACGGTGAGAACCCGGGGTCACATATACCATTTTCTCAGGCCAGTCGTACTTTGGCAACTTCCTTGCTTTAGTGTGATCTGATAATGTTAAGATCCTAAGATTTCTGGCTTTGTCAAAACCTTCAGATGTACCTGGTCTAAGGTAAGCCTTGTCATCGGTGCTTCTCATGAAACAAAACTTTCTCGCGCTGGAATTTCTGGCACCCCAGAATCGTCTTTTTATGTTTTTTACGTGTGCTCGTTGGTAGTGAGTGTTTTCGTTTGTGTTTTCTTCGCCTTTTGGTGGCTTTTTCCAACAAAATAGGCCTTTGCCACAATGGCGCTTCGCTTGGAGACTTCTTTTGTTTCTCGGTCTCGCCCTGTTGTATACTGTTGTAGCGGATTGAATTAATTTCTTCCCACGTTCAGCTAGTCGGTAGTTGGCAATTGAAAGAAGGTTTTTCTTCTTCACCCTCTGGCCGGTATAGAGGACCGTATCATGTCGTCTACCATGATAAGATGATTTATCCTCAATTGCCTTTGCAATGAAGTCTTCATCTTCCTCATCTAGCTTTGGCTTCGGACCTTGGTTTGACAACTTTCGCCTCTTCAGTCGATTACATTCGATAAGGCTTGAAGCTTGGCGCTTGAGCATTTGGCGTTTTCTCTGATAATTGCTTTCGGTGGGCTGGCTGTGAAGAAGCCCCTCCGTGTCTTCAACTTTTTCCTTGAGTTTTTGTACTTCGCTTTGGATTTCTTCTAACGTTTTGGATGACCAAATATTTGTTTTCTTTTGAAGAAGGTTTTCCTTCTCTTTTATCTCCTTCTCCAGCTTTTCCTTCTTGGAATTTAAGCGCAACCTAACGAGGTCGGCTGCTGCCTCATTAGCATTTTTTACCTCTTCAACAACGAATTTAACTCTCTCCGTCATAGACGGAAGATTGTCAGGATCGAAGCCTAGGGCTGTCATTTCTTCTCTAGAGAATATGGATCGCAATATAACTCTAAGACAAATTTTATCCCATTCTGAGTCCATGGTAGTAACGATACCTTGCACGGTTTCCTTATCGAGAACAAGAGCACTATGTCCACTTTTAGTACTACAAGCACTAAAAATATCCAAAAGGAATGACTCTAAATCGACTTCGTCAGGACGGAGCGCGACATACTCAAAACCCTCGGTTATACGAATGATATTGATCCTGAGACCATGTTTTTCATGAAGTAAAGCTTCGCGAAAGGCAACTCTCTGATATTTTGACGGTGCCCCAGAGTGATGAGGTTGAAACGCAAGAAAGTACTCTAATGCTTAGCATTGGCATCTTGCACCGGAAGAAATAGTTGATCGAAGACATAGAGCAGACCTTGAAACTTGTGCTTCTTTTCCTCTGAAATTGCTCTCGATAATTCTTCTTCTATAACACCCCTATTTTGCTCTAGGGTGCAGCTTTGTTGCGATGTTACAATCTCCATTCTCTTTTTTCCCTGAAGTAGTTTATAAAAGGTGACTTCGTCTTAGATCGAGAAACTCACGGTTTTACTAGATCTATGGGCTTGAGGAATGTATCTTAACGATTGGATTTTGGTAGCTGTTTTCTCTACAAGTTCCGTTTCTTTATAACGCCGCGTTAATTTTCTTCATCAGTTTGAAATTAAAAAACACACCTTTCGCATTTATTTATTTTATTAGAAAGTATTTTGCCTTCACTTTGCGATAATTTAAATCGCGTCAATTTTCTAGTAAGTCTGCTGGTTTATAGTCTGCATTTGACGCACGCACGAGGGAGCCCCTACAGTTTTTTTTCTTCCGCACGCTTCGCTTGCGTCACGTTCTACATTTCCGTTTTAATTTAATTGTATTAATGGTAAGCATAGTTAAATATTTAACACTGTTATTTACCACTGATCTGCAAATTATAGGGTTGTCTTTCAGATGCCGGGAATAACCCTATCTAAACTATAGTGACCACAAATACCAGTATTTGCAGTCTTTAAATACAAAGAATTAATGTCCGCGTCGTTTCGACGTTTCAATGTTAATGATTACTTATAGTATTGCATGCATATTTTATTGTTTTACTTCTCACCAGTTTGAGCGTAAAATAATGGACCAGTATCACGAAGAAATTGCCGCGTTTTCCTTCATGATGATTTTAGTAACATCGAAACGCCGTCAGACAACATTTGCTAGCTTTTATATTTTTATAAAGACTGCAAATCCATCATTTATTTACCTGGTCCTTGTCGATATCTGATAAAAGCCGCTCAGTTCTCGCCCTTCGCTCGCTTCGCTTTTCATTATGGCATCGTTTATGGGTACTTCCATCACTTAAATCCAAATGCTTTCCAAGCTGATCACCATTATCGTCCAGATTGCTAAGCTTTTCTGTCATATCTTCCATTCTTGCTCAATTACAATGTCTGAAGTCCAACTGTCCGAAATCTTCTCAGCGGGCTTTTAAAATAATGCTTTGTTGTTGTGACCTACTATTAACTAACATCGTTGTGACTTATTAACTTTAACTTTATTTTTTACATATTAACATATAAAACCTATATTTAGCCGAAACGTGGGCACAGAACTCGTTCAATTGCGCTGATTTGCTTTCATTATAAGCCTTTTCAATGGATAAAGAAATTGACTATCTTTTAACAAAAGCTGACTTGAGCAATTACACAGACAATTTTAAACAAATTGGTGTTGCAAACGTGGTGGAATTCCTGGACGTCGATGACGAAACTCTTGAGCGAGACATTGGACTAACGAAGATACAAACTCGCCGTCTGAGGCGTTTCTTCGCTCAGATACAAGGCGAATCAAAGCAAAGAGGAACAAGCAGTGAAGGTATTGAGTTATCGTTTCTTAGATGATTATTTTGAAGGCCTCTATAAAATAATTGGCTTGTGCTTCAAACCAGCCATGAACAAAAAACGTAAGGCAACATGGTGCATAATTTGTAACGCAATCCTTAACAAACATTTATTATGTGATAGGTAGGTGTTACGTCCGCCAGTGCTCCCAAGAAGCGCAAGCAGGCGATTTTGTCATTTGGACGCTCCGGGCAACTACAACTCCTGAGGAACGACTCAGCACCAGAAAAGAAGCCGTGGGAAAAATATCTTCTTCCCAACCCACACACAGAAAGGCTGAAATTCTACAATAATGTTGTACCGCAGATTTATGAATCTTCATTCGTGAGTAAACAAGCCGGTTTCAAACAGTATCTCCTCGAGCAACAGCAAATGCGTTGGCAGTTAAACACAAAGATAAAAGCCCTTTCCGATAAAGAAAACAACTTGCTTAGAAACGAGAATTGGGGAGTGTGCCAAAACATCACGAAGTTCATGTCAGGCGTGGATGGATGTAAGGGCAGTGGTGATGTCGCGAAGTGTGAGTCCTCCTTGACCACTGTCAATGAGGCCTTCAATTCAGCATCCGATTTGCTCTCATTTATGAACAACAGACGAAAGAACCTTTATACAGAAGAGCGTACCTTAAGGTCGTTTGCAAGTGATGAGCTCAAATATTTCCAGGAAGCTCAAGAGCGAGTGAAGGCCATACACCAAGAGCTGCAGAAAGCCTCCAATGCGCTCACGACCACCCTCATGAGCTTGAAGAGAAAGTTCCCATCTCCCATGGGGAACAACGGCCAATCCCGAAGAAAAAAAGAAAACAAGAGAAAAGTGAAAAAAATCAAGGAGAAAAGGTTGCATCAGCGAGCAGCACTTCTCCTAGAAAAACTTACCTCAAAAGAGGTAGCTAAAGAGGTTTTCGATTCACTCGAAAAGAATACTTACAAATGTGTCTCAAGTATTAATGCAGGATTCACTGCGAGATTTGTCAAGCGTCTCCACCTGGATCCTCTGCTATGGCTTTTGGAAAGAGGCGTGTTTGAAACAGAGCTGGCACGCAATTTGAAAGTGGTAGTGGCCAGAATGAACGAAGAGAATAGCAGTAATGGTGCTGAAAAAGGGTCAAGTTCGGGCGAGGATTCAGATGAATCTGACGAGGAGACTGTGCAAGAGCCAGTGGAGAGGGCTGCCGAAGATTCTGACACGGAAGCGGAACAAGATACAGCCTCACCAAAATAAACACTTTTTTAGTTGTTTTTTTCATTCGGCCGCGTATTAAAATAATGAAAGTTTATGATTTTAGATTACGATTCTCTATAAAACAAACTGAAACGTTATGAAACAATTTTGAGCAATTGTAAGTATTCCATTCTCAAAATCTTGATTACCTTTCTAATTTAGATCGTGCCTGAATAAAAACGTGTATGTTAGACTACGATAGTGATTCTTTTTTACAAAATGGAGGGTCTGTAAAAGGGTTTGGGTTTTGTGTCTGGGCTAGAATAGAGTTTATATAATACATCTAAACAGTCCAATTGATTGTTTTCAATGGTTTTTCGTTTAATGGCTTTTTCGTTTTCATCAACTGAGCCATTATTGCAAACGTCCGTCCCTTAAGTTTAAAAAACTCAAACGAGGCTACTACTAAACAATGCCTGTGAATCGACTCGATGAATGCCCTGTGTTGGATCAAAAACGAGTGAGTATGGAAACAGTACGTTCAGCATCGTGTGGAAGAAATTCGAAAATTGACCTCCAGGGACAAGTGGAGACATTGCCCGGGCGAATTGAATCCTGCTGATATACCTGCTCCTGGTTTGTCCGCTAAGGAACTTTCCACTACCACGACTTGATGAAATGGCGCAGCATTCCTTTACCAACCAAAATCTGAATGGCCCGTAAACCGATCGACACAATCCGAAGATAAAGTTGTTCTTGAAGAAGCTGTAGAGAACCCACCAGCTCTCATGGATTCACTTGTGAATAATTCAGACCACTGTTCATCGGTAGTAATTAAAAAGGAATTTACCTTTTGCTCCGGTTATTCAAGACTAAATAGAGGAGGAAATTTATCACGAAAAAAGTCCTCAAAGTTGGAATGACGGGGGACGATAGTTCCACTGACAAACATCAAGAATTCTCATCTTCTTTAATTCGCAAACTTAACCAAAGTTGCTTACATGCAGTTCAAGCCAGTCTTATCTCTCTATAGTCTAAGTTATCTCTGGACATCTGGGCGAGTGACAATAACTAAGGAGTGTGGAACAAATCAGTAAGAAGTGCAATTTTTCGATAATACGCTTAAAAAACTGGATACAAGCAAAAATATGGCGGGAAAAATATCCGCGCGTGTGCCAAAAAAATTAAGGAAACAAAGATATGTTCGAAAACAAATGTCCAAGGGTGACGAAAACTTTACAAGCGGTAAGTAGCTTCACTGGCTTCCTATATCTTAAGGTATTGTGTTCAAGCTTCTGTTGCTGGTGTACAAGTCTGTCAATGGTCTCTGTACATCATATGTTTCTGATCTACTCAAGATCAAGTTATCATCAACATCTTTAAGTTCTAGCTCTATGGACTATCTTGTGCAACCTGTGTCAAAGACAAAGGCCTACGGGGACAGAGCTTTTTNTAAAATGCCAAGGAAATAGGGTTGTCTCGCCTGAACACATTTCGTGTTACAATAAAAATAAGCATTTGATGGCTTGCGATACTCTGTATTATTTTGAGTAAATGACCTCAACATGCCATTTTGAAGCGTTTTCGGCGAGTTAGCGCTATTCTGGTGTTTTAGCAGTGGAACAAGGGTAAATCCGTGGGAAATCGATTTTTGTTCCAAATAGCGGGACTTGAATTTAACCGAGTTCGACATAGCGGGGTTCGACTGTAATGACATGTTTAGTGTTGTTGTTTGTTTTTTTTGTTTTTTCCAACCGCTTTTTTTTTCTATCCGCATTTTTCCATCCGCAATTTTTCATCTGCATTTTTCTATCCGCATTCGCCATCCGCATTCGCCATCCGCATCTATCCGATCCGCGTTTTACAGAGACCCAAATATTTTCGCATGTGTGCAAATGGGCATGTGTATCATATTTCAAAATAGAATATGCGAATTTGTCTGTGAGTGAAGAGAGTGGGTGTAAAGCTAAATAACAAGTTTTAATCCTTTTTTTAATCGCAAACTTGGCATAAAGTTACCGCAAGTATTATCGGTCTTTCCTGTGTATCAGGGTTTTGGTTTTGATATTAATAGTACGATTTCTATGGTACGGTGTTAGTTCAGATGTTCCATGGAATCTATCAATAGAGGTTTTGCACAGCAGCCATGTTGGATGGGAAGAACAATGAAAATATTTTGCATAAGAAAGAATTTTTTTTCCCATGGGAAAAATAATCTATTGTTCCTGTCATCATACATGGCTGCTGCGCAAAACCTCTATAGGAAGCAAGACTAAAATGGCCAAGAAATATTTCGGGACGACAGATTTACTCAAAACAGTTTTTGATTTGCTGTTATAAGCGAAAAACGTACGAATTTCTAACGTGTACAAAGCCCACGCTGTAAAATTCATCCTGCTTAAATCGTTGTTTACTTGCCTTAAAGAACAGAAATTGCGCAGCGTTATTTTGAAAATTCTGAAAAAACATCGATTTGACGCAAAATCTTGTATTAAACAATACTTTTTGAACACATTGTTACTCGAACATAATATTTACCGGGCCATCGAATCGTCAAATTGTCGTAGGCCCTGCTTGAAGTCCGAAAGTTCGGTTTTCACTTTACGTCCATAATTCGCATCGCCTTGAGAGTCGTGAGTGTCGTTGATTCAAGAGTATTCTATAGCATCGTTACCTTACATTCTGAGTTCCACAAGGTCTAACTCGATCGCATATGAACGAAAAATCGGACCTGAAAATTTTGAGGGTCGGCCGCGCGGACGCCATATTTTCAAATTTGATCATATGGTACTTTCGTGATAGCATACATGACTGAGGGCACGTACGTACGTACGCTCGGTCAGTCACGTGACAACCAAACGAAAAGAGTTTGAGCATATTCCATGGAATCATTTTGAAAACAAAACCTCATTAAAATTAACTTTCAACGCACTTTAAAACACGCCTACTACAAAATTAGTTTCGTCTACAGACCTCTTCAGTTGTATGCGATGTTTCGTTTCGTTCGTTGTTTCGTTAGAAATTTCAAATCTCAGACCACGTCATATAACGTTGCACGAGCATATAACGTTGCACGAGCAATAACCTGGTATCTAGTTGCACAACAACGACGCTAAAGTAAAACTGATAAAACAACAACACCAAAGTAGACAAACAAAGAAAAACAAACTTAAAAACTTCAAAAAACAAACAAACAAAACAAAACAGAACAAAAAACAAAAAAGAAACAAAAAACAAAGAAAACAAAAAAAACAAAACAAAAACAAAAGCAAAAAAACAAAAACAAAAAAACAAAACAAAACAAAAACAAAAACAGAAAAAACAAAAAACAGAAAAAACAAAAACAAACAAAAAAAAACCAAAATAAATAAAATAAAAACCAATAACAA